TGCAGATTAACACTATCTTTCCACCGTGACCTCCGTGCTGGTGGGGACTACGAGGTCAAGGAATGGTTCCAGAAGGTATGATGCCATTCACACCGGTCTTCTACTACCGATGATCTCCGCATGGTCCTAACCGTGTGTAGCAGATCAATGATGTTGCAACGTGTGGGGTCGATACTGCCATTAATTAGTGCCTGTTTGTTCTGTGCTTGCAACTGAGCGCATGCACTACATAGGTTAGTAGGGTCTCAACTATATACTCTCACCGCGCGCAAACTCTCAACACGCTACTATATTGTTTCCTGGAGCCATATCGCTGTCCCACGCCCGTGCCTTTCCGACAGACATCCTTAATTGCCTAACAAGTGGCCCCCAAGTCTCAAAACGTATCCCATCGGACCTCGGACAGGATGGAAAGCGTGGGTCCCCGGGGTGTGCGACAAAGTTCATATTTGCACCAAAACATACCAGATAGAGCTCGATCCGTTTCTCTAATACCTCGCCTCCTTTCTCACTTCTTGTAGCCGCTCTCTTCGCTTTAAGGGGATATCGGCTCGGGCTTCGGTCTTTGGGTAGTCTACACTAGTCTAGCCCTTCGCGCACTAACGTTACGCAGTTACGTAGTAGGGACGTTGGGTTGAAATGACTTTTCGAGTAGAGAAATGCAAAAGGCACTGTGTTTCAAGCCTGCACATATAGTGAAGTTTGTTAGAGGCTGCAATGGCGACAACAAAAAGGGCTTGAATCTCGAGTTGTTTAATAGAAGGGGAGAAATGGAAACTAGGGCAGCCTGAATACTTAGAAAGGGAGTGCGGGAAAATAGGAAAGTTTAGTCAATAGACGGCCCAGGGCACGGACTTTTAACAAAGTTCTTATATTTACTTACTCCTCTTCTATAAAATTCAAATTGATAAAGAAAATCTATAATTTGCTAATATATTCTCTATTTAATAATTATAAATTGTTAACTAGATATAACTAAACTATATTTTGAGATTCTAAAAGAATCTTTGAAATATATAAATATATTTTATAACTTATACAGCTTTTTCTATATGAATATACGAGAACGTAGTTACTTATAATCTTTTTAGAAAGTGAAAATTTTATTAGATGTACTTATTACAGTTTGAATACTTTGAGAGTTTAAGCTTACTAAATATAAATAAAAATATAATAATAGGAAATATTTTGTGAAATATAACTACAAAGCTTTTATAATATATTACCCCTTATATTTTTATATATTTATATTTTAATACATTTAATGTAGGTACTTTTATCCATAGAAGTATAATGTATTTTAATTAGTAGTATAATTCTGGTCTAAATAACTATTATGATAGTAAAGTTATATTATTCAACTTTTAAGCTTACTAGAATGTTATATTATATTTATTAATTTAATCAATAAACTTATATATACTTTCTAAAGAATGATAAATGGATTTTGGATTGGTATAATACTATATTCTAATATTAATAAATAGTATAATAAATATCCTACTAGTATAATAGTTTTCATATAGGCTATATACGAGTAAGTTATAAAAATGGAATTAAATAGGTAAGAAAGACAAGAACAACTCTATACTTGTATAATTGCTATAGAATTAATAAGTAAATATATAAAAGAAATATAAGTGTTAAAAGTATTAAAAATACTGAGACTTGGGATTTAGCTTATACGCTATATTTATATAAATATACTTTATAATATTTAATATATTTAGTACTTGTTATAGGGTAGTAATATAAATAACTACTAAGCTAAACCTAGCTTAGTAAAAGGTAGGACAAAGATCGTTTGCTAACAAATAGTGGAGTATATTACTATATAGGCTAGAATACTAATATTATAGTATTTATCTTATTTTAGTACTAAAACAGCTACTAATAGCTAACTACCTTATATATTTGGCTAAAAGGTATATCTAGCTTATACTAGCTATATTACCTTTATATACTAGTATTATAATGATAAATTTCATATTATAATATTATAATATTATATTATAATTAAACTTGAAGTTAAAACTATATATTGATATGATAGTTGAGAAAATATATAAGAAATTAAAGAAACCTATATAAGTTTTATAAATAAATATTAACTTGAATTCAATTAAAAAGAGACTAGCTTAGCAATATAATATAATATAGTTATATAACTTATTATAAAATGAAGTAATATTAAAAGTATAAAGCGGATTATAATTTATATAATTACAAGAACAAAAGAGATACTATAAAAACTACATACGTAGTAGCTGATTTTATATAAGAAACTCTATTCGTACGTTGAGAAAACTCTATTCGCACGTTTATATACTTTTCCTCTTTTCAATATAACTCAAGTTAATGTCACAAGGCTGGCACCCAAGGGTGTTTGCCTAGCTAACACTCGTATAAGCTAGGCGTACCTTCTAGTTGGGTATATAGGCTGGTCAGCTGTCGGCAGCTGTTTTAGCGCCAAATGTACTACGTACTATTAAATACATCTTTTAAGGCGCGGCGTACGGGCTATATTTCTAACCTTGGTATTTCTAACACTTTCAATACCTATTACATTTTATATATTTAACTGGAAGCTCTATACTGATAAGGTATAAACTTCTCTCTTCCTCTTTGTTAGTTATTTTAAGCTTCTTTTAAGGCCTACTTGCGTGTATACCTTATAGATCCCTTATATTATAACCGACCCTCTTTTCAATCCTACTCTAGCTCCCTCGAACGGATCTCCAATACCCCCGCTATTCTCACTACCTCCAGTTGCCTGAAGAGTACTTTAGCCGTTAGCTAACCTTTTTTTTTTTACTTTACTATACTATAGCTTCGATTTCCTGGGCTTAGAATGCTTCCGAATATTAATAATAGTTCGCTATAGCTATTTAAACCCTTGTTAGTGAAATCGGCCATCTCTAGACGACTACGGGTAGTTCTAACTAACTGAAGCTGGTTCTTCCCTATTTTAATAAACTTATAGATTATAAAAGGACCTTAATACGTGGATTCATATGGCCGAAGCGAAATTATACATTAACGGCCAAATTATTGGCGATTTAGAGGCCTAGTTCTATTACTTTTACTTTAGCTTTTCGCCCGCCGTCCGTTGGATTCTCTTCTTCTTTGCGTAGTCCTTAGCGAACCGGACTCTAGCTGGGCTTTTCGAGAAGCTTTGTATTAATTATAGCGACGTTAATTAAGATAACAAGGCTAGCTTCGAGCTTTTTGTTTTGTAGTAAGAGTCTCGGTAGTTTATATTCCATTTCTTTATCCACTTTAAAGAAGTCCTTTACTAAGCTAAACCTAATATATAGCTAGAGTAAGCTGTTATTAATTTGTTAATATCCTCCTTGAACGGCGAGTAGTTTGGGCGCCTCTGTGAATAGCTGGAAGCTCTAGATAGTTACCCGAAGCTCTATAGCTTTCTTTGGTGTTTAGATAGTAATAATTTTCTTAGGGGGAGTAGTACGGGGTATTAGGGGAGTTTGAGCTTTAGTGCTGCTATGTATATTAATAGGAGAGAACCGATCGATATTGCTGCTACCCAGATTACAGGGAGCTCTAGCTCTAGGCCGTTGGATACTTAATAAAAGAGGTAGAAAAAGAAGGGAGCCTATACAGTTTGTGATTTACCCTCCTATTGGGCTAAAGATTGTAATGAGGTTTAGATTTGGTATATCCGGTTAGCTTTAAAGTCAGAAGGGGGTTTGGAGGAAGATAATGAGATTAATAATAACGGTAATAAGTATTGGGGTATGAATATTAGTTTTGTCACGGGGTTAGGCATGCAATGCCAATACCGTTACACCAAACCTCAACCAAAAGGTAAAAGATGGACAGTAATTCTATCTGGAATAGACGACGGAATGTACGTATATATACTCAATGTCACAGTTACAGTTACCCTGTGATATTATAGAAGTTGACTAAAATGTTATATATATATGTATATATATATATAAGCTAGTTATTTTACTAAATAGTAAAGTTTATAAGTATCTTTCATTACTATAATTGATTTTGATAGTTAAACCTTTCTGATAAAATAGCCTACTAGTAAATAGACGAAGTATAAACTTAATTAGCTAAGATAGTTATAAAGTTAAGAAGGGAGTAACTTAGAGTTACTAGACTTCTAGATATAAATAAGTATAAATATTCTTACTTGTTATTAATCTATGCTATTAGTATTACAAATAACAAATAGTAGTATTAACTACTAGATATAATGTAGGTAGTTAAAATTCTTAGCAAAAGAGGAGCCTTAGAACAAGCGGGGGTTAGCATTAACAGAGGACATTATTGTATGAAGGCGTTATATAAGATGCGAGAGTTTGAGAGCACTGGGGGTTATCCATTCTCTACCGCGTGTCTCTTCTGGGGCCGCTCAGGCCCGGGAGAGGAGGGCTGGCGGAGGAATGACCGGCCTAGAGCACCATCCGCCTCGCCCCCGTCAGTTCGTCCGTGGCCCGGACCCCAATGTCTAGTCCCCAAGTCTCCGAAACCAACTGGGGAATGGAAAGTGGAAGCAACAGCCCAAAGCATCTGGCGCACAGACTGGGGCTTCTGGTCCATACTCTGATCCCGATCTTTCAAACCACCTTGACCACCTTCCCCACCTTTGGAAGGTCACCTTTGAAGAGTGGAAGTGTGTACTTACTTGTAGACCTAGCAAGACCAGGGTTCCTTCCTGTTCATCCTGGTCTCTTGGGCGGAGCCATCTCTGATCACAGCCTAGACTACGCTTCAACACGCTGTGCTGTATTCTTATAAGTGGGCTTCCTGCGAGAGGCTTCCCTTGGTTCCATCCGTCCACCTGCTCCGGCTTTATCTAACGACGAACCGTATCTATTTCTTTTCACCACTCTCATCTCGAGCAAGACAAACTATTCAAGAACAGTAGTTCGGCCTTTAAGACAACATCGATTAGACATACACAATATACACCAACGTCATAGTACACCTACCCATATCAACACAACAACCACTAACTCAAGATGGCTCGGTCTCCTCCTGCTCCCACTACCGGGGACAACAAGCCGGGTACGGTGAAGAGGAAAGGTTAGTGCTGAATACCCATTCTCCCAGTGAAATCCACCGTAAAACGTCCTGACACTTTATCTTTGTTTGCGGTCACAGGCACGAGAAGCGTCTCTACCCTCACGCCTTCACAGCTAGCTAGGAAGCGAGCAAATGATCGGGAAGCGCAACGCGCAATAAGAGCTCGCACTAAGGAGCTCATTGAAAGGTTACAACGCGAATTAGAAGAATCAAGGGGAAGGGAGAACCGCGATGCAATGGTTCGTGAACTGCTTCAGAAGAACAAGGCATTGGAACACGAAGTACGAGCATTGAGGGAAGCCCTTGGCATCGGGAACCGACCGTTTCCTCAATCTGGTAAGCTAGTTTTGATGTTTTCTTTTCTTTCTTCTTTTTTTTTTCTTTTTCTTTTTCTCATGTGGTCATTTCTATGGTCTCAAAGGCTAACCCACTGTTACCAAAGGCTACGAGGTAGATGGACTGCAAACTTCGCCATCAGCAGTTCCAGGTCGCGGGGCATCTATCCCCCAAGGCTCCACGGACTATGGTGCACCGACAAGCTTTGGGTCATCTTACCTCCCTACTCCTGAACCTTGTGAGGCATGGCCTCCGGTCGTCCCTGTCTCTTCAGTCACTGTTTCTTCAGTGGGTTCAAGTCCGTCGTCATCCACGGGGCATCCTGATGAGTACGCGGCTAGCCACGTCCCCACAAGCGTCCCTTCTTCCTTGATGGACTCATCTGTAATGGGTCAAGCTACGGGAATCTCTTGCCTGGACGGTATGAAGGTCAACTACGAGGACATTGAAGCTGGTGAGTAGCTCCCGTAGTATTTGGTCGATGTCTTATGTGCGCGCGTTTACTGACACGGCCTAGACCGCGGATACTGTCCGACCAGCGTTCCACAGCCGCAATCCTCTTATCTCCCCCAGCAGTCCTGGTCCATGTACCCCACATCAACCTACTATCCACAATCGCCTACGGTTTGATGCTATATCGACACAAATGTCTGTTTTTGAGGTCAAACAGCGTGTCGCGGACGGGCAGCCTACGAGAAAACAGCTACAACAACACCAACCCTTTGGACAGCAATTACACATACAGACAACGACCATCGACGTCGATACAAAGGCCAACGAGGCGCAACGTTCTATGCAGTCCCCAGATTTGCGTAGGCAGTTTGTGTGAGAAGGCCAGCCCGCCTTCGCAAACTCGTTTGAAACACAGATCTCGGAGCGTTTACGTCACACATCAGCTACACAGCAAGCGGCTTGTTTTGTTGGGATGATTATCATTATGATTTTTTGGGGGGGTCCATAACTCTGGAGCATCTGACCATGTTTCCCATTATTTTGATTTTCAAGAGAAGACCACGGAGAAGAACAATGCATTTCTACGGCTGGCATTTGGGGGGGGGGGGGAGGGGGGGGGTGTCCCTACTTTATCTTATTTCTTCTACGGGTTATTCGGTTTGTATCCCTACCTGTTCCACCTACTCAAAAAGGGGGCAGATGGGATGGGTCAAGACTATCAAATGTGGGAGGGGCAAGCACCCCTTCTACTTTACACCGGCTGGCGGGGGCAACGGTTCATGAAAACGCATCACTTGGCGCAATATGTTGGGTTTTTTTTGAGGGGATGGGTTTGTTTTTTTCCATTTTTGGTGGGCGGTCATACACAGCGAATTATAGAGGAACGGACAATAGCATGATCGGCTGGTGGAGTACGTATATACTCTTGGATGGAGTTTGGTCATTTTTTCTTTACTTTCTTGTTTTTGGTATTTTTGGCATCTTTGGCGTTTGCATGGTTAGACTGTGTTTAGAAAAAAAGGCCGCCTTCCCTTTGTGTAACTTAGTATGTAGGATGATTTATGACACTTGAATGAACCTGAAGCTACTGGATTGCCAGTGTCAAAGAGATCTCCCTCGCCGTTCTATAAGCAGCAAGAACATATGATGATTCGTGGTTACGAAACAGTCTGGAGGTCTTAAGCACATCACCACGCAAGTCAGAAGCACCATGCCACTTAGAGCACCTAGCATTGTGGTTTCGCGTAGGCGGAGACGTGGATGTGCATTCGGTCTGAAGCTCAGGAGCTCCAACAGTCTCTCTGATTGCACTGACCGCACTCGCCGGCGCCGTCCGATACGTCATGGTGTTACGCTCTCCTTCGTCGGTGTAAGTAATTACTTAGCATGCATGACCTCCATATTTGTTTTTAGGATGTAGTGTAAACTAGTGTATAGCAATATGGAGGGTACGAGGGCGTCAAGGTACCGGGAAGGGATGGGGTGAAGCAAGGGTTCCTGGTCTTCTTCTTAGCGCTGGATTTGGACAAGCACCACTAGGGCGAGAAATACACCTCTGCCGGCATTTACTTTGTTAGCGCGGTACCTCCACCTTACAGAATCTCGCTAGTTGGTCGCGGGTATACCAATAATCTTCTGTAGGAAAAATAAAGTTATCGCCACTTGCAAGAGAACCACGCTAACAAAGTGAATGCCTGCAGAGGTGTACAACAACTCGAGTGATTGCTGCACGCAATTGGTCAATGGGTTTCAGCATGGAAGGCGCACAGAAAAAGTAAGAAAAGGGCAGATGGAAAAGGTTAGCGAAACTCGAGGAGCGACCGGTTGGTGGGGCCTGGTGCGTGGTGAGTGGTTTTCATCTCCAAGGCCAGCGGAGCTCGGGGCTCTAGAGAACTGGCGATGGCTCGGTAAAGGGAGACCCATGTTAGCGCAGAGTGGCTTCGAGGGCGAATACTCGGGAGTGCGTATCCGGAATATAAGATGAGACGTACCTTTTGAGCCTACTAACGGAACTCTATACGCCCAAGCAAAACCCTAAGTCCCAATTACCTTAGTAACTCTTCTTCCGACCGCTGTATTAACTTCACTACAACCTAATATAAAGTCTTTTACTCTAAAAAGCTAGCTTCTAGGCGCGCTGCGTTTACTAGTTCAATCAGTATTTCGTTACAGTAGTTTTTCATAAAATTATAATAGAAGTAACAAAATAGGAGTAATTTTATGATTTGGCGCCAAGAGCGACGACTTGCCCACTAGGTGGTGGGAGGTACGTCTCATCTTGTCTTCCGGATACCTAATACCGAATACTTAGCACTGCAAGCACGGTAGCGCGTACGTAGACCGGCGAGGTACATAGGCAAATCCAAAAGGGTGCCGAAGGGGCACTTCGGGCTCGGAGTTCACCGGGCTGTTGCCCACTCGGGCATGAAATGCTGTGGGTAGTGCCGAGCGCGACTAGCTTTAGCTCACGTCGCCAAGGTATGCCTGAGCCAAGAGGATAGCAGACACACGGGTGAATCTGGCGAAGTTGGGTGAAGGGACAATTCCAGCTTGAAGGCCACACACGGATCCACAGAGGTACATACAACCAGAGTGTGTGTCTATATCAGGTACACTTGCACCCGAGAGATCGGTGCTCGGGCTTGTACGTGCACATTCGAGACCATCCAGCCCTGCTGGAGGAAGCTAGTATCCAAGGGGAAAGGACGGACGTGGTGCGTAGACGGACGGCTTTGGCCTTGTAAACCTTGAAATGGAATCAGTCCAAAGCGCATACGAGTCCAAAGGTTTCGACGGGCGAATCCGAGAACCCAAGGAATGCACGTACCGTGTTACTTGTGTGTCAGATGGCAAATTGGCGCTCTATGAATGGCTGACGCATCAGAGTTGCTATAGCGCTCGAGCCAATGGCAAATGGCCATCTCGTGGGGAATCCCTGAAAGGCCTTGATGCATAGGTACCCTTTAACTAACGAGGGAGACTACTGCATAGTAGCTGGAGGCAAGCATGTAGGCCCAGTTGCTTCCCAGAGCCTCACTAGAACGGACTTGTACCTGCCGGGAGGATATCAAAGTGAAGACAGACACATTCGGACTACATACTAGCTAAAAGCAATAAGCCTCGAACACCACCGCCGCCACCACACCGCCGCCACCACGACGCTGGGAGTCCTGGGTTCATGCACGTGAATAGTGTTAGACGAGTCAAACAAATCCGTCTCAGAAACTGGCCACATGTAGCTCACGGCCACTGGCCCATCCAATTTAGGGAACAACACTGAGCAACTACGCGTAAGAGAGTGCTAAACCTTGGGGATGAACTGGGCGATTACCCCGACATGCTTGATCAGCAAATACCATCACTATACTAGTGCCTGACTCCACAATCACGGAGAGCTTTTTTTTTTTTGGGCGTAATTTCTTGTAATGCAATGACCGGACGAATGGGAAAGCTGTTGTTTGGATAGGAGATTTTGATATACATGCATATACAGCCTTTTGGGAGGCTATAGCAAGCTGATGCGGTTGGGCGACACCTGCATAGTAATGTATACCTGCTCATGGTTTATGCCCACAGCCTCCATCCCGGTTCCTCCGCGTCTACCCCGACCTCTCAGGCACCGAGGCGAGGACGGGGAGGACGGCGGGACAGCGGGGCTGAGAGTACGGGGAGTACGGGGAGTACGGGGATGATACGGAGACGGGGACGGAAGGGGGCACATGGGGGAGGTAGCATCCTGGGTGTGGTGGTTCATATGGTTTCGAAGGCAGCAAGGTTCAGGAAAGGGATGACGGACGCAGGGGACGTGTAAGAGCAGACAGTCGGTGGGCGGTGGACGTGAGCGTGGACGGTGGACGCAAACAATAGCCGACGAGGAGAGGAGGAATACGGGTGGAGGCGCGCACAGCTACTTGGTGCTCGCGATTAGACCGCAGCGCGAGAGGACCGTCAAGACACTTGAATTCTATTTTTTTCGTCTGTTCGTCTCCTGGTCGCCTTTTCAAAGAAACAGGGTTGTTGTTCCTCCAATCGCAAGCGCATTGGCGCATGGTGCATGCATGGTAAGGACTCCCATCTCTGCGATGCAGTTTCTGCCCGAGTTTGGAGAAGACCGGTATCCACCCAATATCGCTGCCAGCGATCTCACTAGTAAAGTAAAAGTAGTACTGTGTGGATTTTATATTGGGCCCCATCCTTCCGAGACTGGACCTCCTTCATCTATCTGGTGAACCTATCAACCTGTCTACGCTACCCGACACTACCGCCTCTGTACGCCGTACACTACACTAAGGGCGTTGGCGGCCGTCTTTACTATGTAGGTATGTACAATACGCTAGAAGTCGACCGGAATAGGTAGGTAGTGTACACGTGCAGTGCAATATACTACCACTACCGAGACTACCACCCAGAATCTCGCCAAGGCCGAAGCTGACCCTTGAGATATACATGCCGATCAAACTGAGGTCGGATGTACGTCCGGTGCGAGCAGAGCCCCCGTGGTACACCTGTACTGTGTACGATGTACTGCGTAGACGTCTACTACGCAGTACCTATTTACATTAGTAAGTTCTTCGATAAACTTTATCGTTGTGCGTATATGCAGTAGGGGAATAAGTTAGGTAGTGCATGTATTATATACAAACATGCCCCCTGTTAATGCAACTACAACTGGCATCACAGGAGACAGCTCGAATTCAGCATTAGAGGGAGTTCTTACCCGAAGGGGTACTTCACTAATATATAAGACTAGGACTCTTGGCCGCAGAAATGGTTTGCATCTAATGGGTCCACTTGTGCGTGACTGCAAAAGGGGGAATTGCATTAATAGGGGACAATACTGTATATAGGTAGTATACCTAAGGAAGCGACGGAAAGTGCACAGCAGGACTTGGGAGGACCCCCTTCCCCTTGTCCTCTGCGGCACAAACCCGGACAAATTTCGGAGACGCGAATAGCGAGGAGACTGCTAAACTACACAGTTGCGCTGGCCTTAGGGGGCCGAGTGGTGGGTTAAGTTCCTCCGCCCCTTGAATGTTGCACTATATAGTGTATAACACAGCAGTGTGCGTAGTTAATGTTAGTCCCTACTATTATGCGCTGGTGTCTGTGGCTGAACGTGCTTGGCAGACTCGCCACCTTAGTCTAAGTAAGCACTAGTGTTGAGAGTTACAGCTAATTACTTGGGGGGTTCTAGGCGCCAAGGCTTTTAACCCCCTTACTTGTTAAGTACTCGTCCCCCGCCCCCACTTTTTTTACCTCGCTAGACTCGCACCCCTTAAAGTGGGTGCTTATTACAGGGTTAGCCTATAATGTAGTTACACTGTACGCCTCCAGTCTAGAGCTATTGACGGCTCTGGTTACATATAGTCCTACGTGTGTGTACGAGTACGGATTAGCCCAAGCTGGGCTCTCGCCTATATAGCTAATCTTCTATATATATTTCCCTTCTCCTCCCTTATATAATAATATATATCCTACTTTACCCCCAATAGTACCCTCTCCCCCTATAATAATTTATTATACTAAATTATTATACTACGTACGCTTACTGTTTAATAAAGAGGAAGATTAATTGTATTTGTATTAATTAATTAATTAAAATTTATAACCATATAATTAAAACCTTCGTTGCAATCCTAGACCTTAAATTAAGTAATTATTAAACCGAATATTATAATTAAATAGTTCGCCTTTTCTTTCTCTCCTTTATACCTACTAGCGTATTAATTTAGCGATTAATATTTAACCCTCTAATAATTAATAACTTTTTGGCGATTATAATAATTAGCGCTTTCGTAATAATTGATTCCGCTAATTATAATTACTATTTAAATATTTCGTAAACGTTCGAAATACTTAATAATTAAGCGGTTATTATTAGTAATATTCTAATTAACAACGCCTTTAGCCTTACTATCCTCACTATTTTTTATATTATATTTATAGTTTTTAACCGATTAATTTACGAAGATATTATTAGAATTAGAATAGAAATATATAAGGTGGAGGAATTATTCGAAGTTTCTAAATCCTAATTAGTATTAGTTTAGTAAGAGATTAAACGATTTAATAGTAATATTACTATAGTTTAAGTAAGAGCCCTCCTCTAAGTATAGGAGGTTGCTAAGAATTATAAAACTATATTAGGGCTATCCGTAATATTTATTCCGCCGAAGTTAATTTATTGCAAATAGATATTATTACTTTAAGATTAGAATTTTCTACCTTAAGAACTAATTTTAGAGTTACTTATTAGAAGTAGAAGGAGAAGTATTAAAAGACGATTAATAATTTGTACTAGCATTTTATTACTATTTAAGTTTTTAATATTATACTTCTAGAAGACGATTTTAGTGACGAAAAACTTAAGCCTAATACTATAGCTTTTATAAACGATAGTAGCAGCTATAAGTTAGTATTATATATTATTATAATATTAATATTTAATAGTAAAGGTACTATTATTAAATATTCTATTAAATTTTATACTTAGTGTTTCCGTATTTAATTCGCTTACTTAAACGATTTCTAACTCTTTAATACTAAGTATAAGAAATTTTTACTTATTATTCGCTCTATTGAGGGTACTCCTTTTAAAACTATTAAGTTCGAACTTATTAAAATCCTAATTAAACTCCCTACTAAATAATTTACGATGGAGGCCCTCCTAATAAAACTTATTATAAATTATAATAATATAAATATTATTATCTATTTTTATTACGAATTCGAAGAGTTAAAGATAATTAAAGGTATAAAATAGTAAGAGTTTAAGGATAATTTTACCCGTTTAATCGATCGCTACAATTTTAACGACGGTATAAAAATCTACTATTTATACTAAAAAATCTCGAACTATATTTATACTACTATTGTTTATTAGAACTCTTAATTTACTAATAATAAGTATAATAAATAGTTAATTTTCGCCTATAATCTTATAAAGAATTTGGAGGATAAGGATTAGTATAATAGAAATTCTAACCCTTATTATAAGACCAGCTTTAGTATTACCGCCGTTAATACTTTTAGTACCCTTATATTTATTAGAAAGGCTACTATTAATTAAGGAGGCTCTATTATAGACCTTAATATAATATTAACCTCCAACGTCCAAATTTTTCGTTTAATCAATAATAATGTCTTCGAATATTGTATAAAGAATAGTATATATATCCGCTATAATAGGAAGGGCTATTTCTCGGCGGAATACTATTCCCGTATTAATTTTAAGAAGGAAGTTAAACCCCGTAGTAATAGAAATAGAAATTAAAATAAAAATAAGAATAATAGTGGTAATAACAGTAATAATAATACTAAAAATAATAGTAGCTAATAATAGTAACCGGCCTACGGTTAATATAATTATAGCTAATAGTATTCTAATTACGGTAGCGGCTATTAGGTTAACGTTATAAGTACCGGCCTCCCTATAGGTTTTTTAATAATTATTCTAAGTACCCCTAACCCCGGTGGTTATTACTATCCGGTTCCTATTTATTAACCCGGTTTCGTCGGCCTTATTATAAGCAATAAAGCCGGTTTAGTTTAAAGATAGGAAAATATATAATTTCTAACCTAAATTATATTTAGAGGCACTAATCTATAGGATAAGGAGGAGGACTATAGGGGTTTATTCTTATATAGCTAAATATTATTAAAATATATAATCTTTAATAAATAATTGCTATAAATACTCTAATTTATTAAATCTCTTTATCTACTTCTCCTTTAGATTATATAATTTATATTATTCTACCCTAATTAATAATAGTTATATTATACTTAATTTTATTAACCGGAGGTTCGCTTTCTAATATTGTTTTCCTCTCTTTAAATTACCGGTCCCTAAACTACTATACTTCGCTAATAATTAAATTAAGGGTAATATTACTTATTTTATTAGAATAATAATGTAGGTAAGAATTTACTACGAAGTTATTAACCTCTTTATTTATAATTTCGCGAAAAATAACCTTATTATCCTTAGTTATTTATAGTTAATATATTATATTCTAAGTATTAATTAGCCTAATAACTTCCTCCATTTTAAGCCCGCTTATAAATTATACAATTATTTCCCTTATAGAATTATTAACTATTACGCTCTATTAATAATTCGCTACTTTTCTCCCCCTTGCTTTAATACGCCCAGTATTTATTCTATATATAAAAAGCCCTTTTATAAAGAAATATCCAATAAAGGGGAATTAAAACTACTATAAAGAGAGTCTATTTACTATCTATTTATTTCTATAATTGTAAAATAAATTGCTTGCTAAAAGTTTAATTATTTTAAGAATTAAATAATTAACTAATTAAGTACTATTCCGTTCGGTAAAACTCTAATTAGCCCTAGTTAAATATTAATATTAATAGACCTCCTAGTTAGTACCCTAGTTCACTAGCCGGTACTATGTCGGATTATTAAAGGAGTTTATATTAGAACTATAGACTATTAATTTTTAATTTATTTTTATAGTATTCCTAATAATCCTATTAACTCTAACGATATTAGTGAGCTCTCCACCGTAAATTTCAATTAATTGGCTAAAATAATGAAACTCCAAATTATTTATACTACTAAGGCCGAAATAGAGGAAAATATTAAAAGATCAAAAGAGGGGGATTAAGTAGAGGAGGAAGGAGGCGTTCTAAATTTTAGAAGTATAAGTAATAGTTTTATTAAGAAAATAATTAAGGAGGTTTTAATAGGCCGTAGTTAGAAGTATAAAAAATTATTTAATAGTAATTATTATAAATAGATTAACGCTCTAATCGGTAAGCGAAATACAATTACTTTATATATAGTAAAGGTTGCTAATTCCGTCTAAATTAATAATATTAATAATAATTTCCTATATTACAAAAAAATAATTAATAAGTACTTTACCGCTAATAATATTAATATTAGTAAAATTATATCCGAAAACATTACTAAATTCTATGAGAAAGCGGATAAACTCTTAAAGATTAATACTAAAATTTAAGCCAAACTCCCCAAATAGTATTAGTACTATAGTAGCACTTTTAAGTAAGAGGGTACGGA